GCAGGAGGTCTTCCCCGGTTCGGTCAGGAAAGCAGATTCACGCAAAAAGGGCGAAATGTGCGGAGCTGTGTGCGTCGCTGCTCTTCTGCGTCGCCGCGGGCAGACGTCCAAAGAGTGTCGCGGTGATGGTGATGGTGGTGGTGGTGGTGGTGGTGTGGGTTGTGGGGAGCATGTGCGGCTCTCGATGATGGGGGCAAAGGGGGCAGTAAGTCTGCATGTGCCCCTGTAGAGTAGCTCTGAAGGAAGAGACAGTATATTTCATGTATATGAAAAGAACAGACAACACAAGGCATTATACAGAAAATACTGTACTACTAAACAGGTAACAAGTAAAATCCATCTTATTCAAAAATCTGTCTATAGGTTTTACTCAGTAACCATCAGATGTTTTTACTTTACTCAGTAAGTGTGATGTGGTGCACACTGGTCTGGATGTTTTACTGTGAATGTAGTGTTCATACTATAATCACCTTTCCTAAAGGTCTTCTCCCACTCGATGTATGATGGACAGAACCATATGTAGGTGTAGGCTGCAAACAATGAAAAAGACAAGGTGTGTTAAAAGGGTACTCCATTAAGTATTATAACATAGTATAAACATCTCCATAGAAGGGGGACTAACAAGAGACAAAAAAAGAATGCTCTAAATGGAAGCAGCAGTGATATCCTGACTTTAGGTCTTTCTGGTATGAATCAAGCTCGAAAAAAATGGGATCTTACATTTCCCATAAAGCAACTTATCATATCATCAAAGTTATTTTTATTTCAAACCTTGGAAATCTTTCTCCAGGGCCACAGAAGACACAACTGTTTCTACAGGCTATCTTTATGGGAAGTAAACTGTGTGAATGTGTGAAACTGTGCCCCTTTAAAGCAAATTAGATCAAATTTGGATAAAAACCCTAAAATATCCATCCTTAAGCAGGTTTAATATATATGTGATACAACAGTATATAATGGTAACCTTTATTTGAAATAAATGTGGTTTATAAATATGGTTTATAAATATACTTATACCACTAATTGTGGATAATGCAGTTTCTGTTTTATGTCTGCACACATTTAAACAAGCAAACTTAAGTGAAGGAAATTATTATTGACTGATTCTTTTAAAAACAACTAAAACAAGAGATTAACAACATATTAGCTTTTGTACGACATGCTGAACCCATGCTATTGGAGTGTATTTTCTGATCAAGATAAACCAGACCTTGCTTAGGTTCTGCCACCTTTCCGTGACTGGAGTGTTTGGAGTGGATTTGAACTCCAGCTTAGGTGAGGCAGGTGCGTAGTAAAGCATCTGGGGCACCATGACCGAGTCATCATGAGGTCGAATGTCAACCCTTCCCACTGGTGTGTGAGGTCGTGATCCCAGCTGACCTCTTGAGGTCAAAGAACCTGTTCCCATCATTTCTGTCTGCATGGGTGGCGTGTTTTGGCCAGGAAGAGAATCTTCCTCTTGGTGTGGCCCACAAACTCTTCTTCTGCTAAAATCAGGAGGGCTGGGTGTTCTGTTTGAAGAGAGAAGAGAACAAAATGCCAAAGCTGGGACCTTTCTCAGATGATTTTTTCCCATTAAGTAAACCACTGGGATTTAAATATGTGCCTTTCATACACAGAGATGAGTTGACAACCTGCTGTTTCTCTGACGCACACTCCGCCTCCCCCTGCGTTCTGAGTGAGACGTCCCCATCCTCCCACCACTGAGCTGACTCGGTTCACTCAAAGTCCTGCTGACGTGTCTGTGCCTTTGGGAGGGACCCTCTCCATCAGAGGGGGGTTTAGGAAAGTCCACTGATTCACTGCTGCCACCTATCTGTGTGAAATCCTGATAACTTGAGCAACGCCTGAAGGATCAGCAATGCAGCAAAGAAGGGTCACCAAGTGCAATCGTGGAAAATGTTGGATATTCAGTGTTTAACACTGTATGTCTGTAGTGAATAGTGCTGTACCTGTTCAGCGAGCCGTCTGCCTCCATTGAAGCAGACTGACTGAGGGCTCGGACCCAACCCAACATGTCCTCCTGAGTGTCAGCACTGAAGAAATAAGAGCGCATTCCCTGGTGCACCACCTAGATTTTAACATAGATTTTTCACAACATGACACTGTTATTAGTCCCCTCACAAAGGATCAATGTTTTTTGAGTTTCCAATGGACTGTAGCTCAAGAGAGGAATGTTTTTCATGATGTGCGTGAAGTTGATTTGAAGTTAACAGATTGAATAAACCAGTGTCTAGGAATAATTTGGATACTTTGCTTAAGTAAAGGTACTACAGCACACTGTAAACTCTGCAAGCTAAATTCCTGCACTGAAAATGTTAAATAAAAGTATGTAAGTATAATGCACTTAAAGTATTAAAGGTAAAAGTGTTAAAAATGTTCACTGTGACTGTTGTAGTACACTTTTTACATCATTAGATTATTATTACCAATGCATTCATATAAAAGCAGGATTTTACTGTTGTAGTTGGTTCATTTTAACTAATTTGTAGGACTGCAAGTATTGATTGATTTTTTATAATGTATTCATCTGTGGATGATTTTCTCTATTAATTGATTAAAATTCAGAAAAAAGTTTACATTAGAAGAATGAGTAACCATTAATGATACCTTGAAGGTGAACTTTCTGTTCTTGCATTCTCGTGGTGTGCAGAACAGGATTTTGTAGCTCGGGAGAGGGATGCTGCCCAGCACTGATTCTTCTCTACTGTCTGGTGGGGAACAGAAAATAAGTGAACAAAAGAAGAGATGCATGGTTATACAATCACACATGAGTGCATGAAACACAAAGCACTGGCTAGGCTACAAGCTGTGTACCTTTATAGTAAAACAGGCAGTAGTTGGAGAGAACAAACCACCTTCTCTTCCATAGCTTCAAACCAGAGCTATCCTGCAGAAGGGAGATCAATTAGGAGCGCCTCTTTGCAGTCACACACTCGAAATGCAATAATGAAGTTGTAATATGTTAAGTAGGCCATGTTTTGAAAATTACCTTCTTGTTGAGCCATCCTCTGATGATGACAGGACAGTTGGGGTCTCTCTTGGCTGCCTGACATCTTTTCCCAAATGTTTGCACCTTTCCATCACTTTCCTGAAGATACATTTTTTATACATTAACAGTGTCACAATTATCACTCAACATGTGCACATCATGACAAGATAGCCAGGCAAACTTAAAATTAACCTTTAGGACAGGAAAGTAGGAAATAGTGGCCACGCTGGATGCTTGGCTTACTCTGTCCTGGTCATCCATTCTGCAGAGGAAACAGAAATATTCAGACTTTAGTTGAAAACAGCCAGATACACACTCACATAAAAACACAATGAAGACAAGTTGATAAGAAGAGTCACAAATATTTATCAGAAATGTCAGAGCTGGATGCAAATGTCACATTTGAAATGTCATATCTGGAAGTTTTATATTGATTACAACCAAAGTTCAGCTCTAACTTTAACAATTTATTTCATATATATAGGTGTGTCTGTTAATAGGAATGTATTGATTCATACAAGGTCATAATTACTTAGTGGTACACACAAACGCAATGGATTGTTAACGAAACCTCAATCAAGTCAAGAAAACACATAATAAAAAGATCCACACCTGAGCAGTTATAGTTTACCACAACCTCTGAGCAAATACTTCCCTACATTGAAACTCATTTTGAATGAACTGGTTGCAACTAGTTGCTCTGAGTGAGGCTAAGACACAAGGCCTTACCAATACAATCTGAACCAGAGTCTCTCTCTGTAGAAGCAGTCAGTCACTCCCATGAACAGCACCCAGTAACCTCCGAGCACACATATGCTACATTCCCATATAGTTGAGATTTTTTCCTAGTCAACTGTTCATCCGTTCGGAGACTTGGTGTTGTGCTCTCCCACTTCGAGCGAAACTCTCCCACAATTCTATTCTGAGCCATAACAGGCCGGTGTGTGCATCCCCACCATGAAACTGACAGGTGACAGCTGCGTCGCCGTGGTAGCAGGGAGGGGCCTGGGACAGTGTGAAAACCAATCTGGCAGCAGGGACGGGCTGGTATGAGAGACTGAGAGGGTTTTGGAATGTGTCCCAAACTGCAGAACTGCAGTGTGGATGGCAGAGGACAAAAAAAAAAACAAGATAAAAGAGTGTGGAGAAGGGGGGAAGTAAAGTGGCATGTTGAAGACAAATGTGCAGGGAGGGGTGGGGCTCACTGTGTCACAAGTTTGTGCTTTTCTGTAGAGTCAGGCTGTCTGTTCAGGGTTCAGCATATTTGGTTGTGTACATCAGGTCACATGGTAGCATGTTTCGTGCACCTGCACCTACTCTATGAACCTATTTTCTTAATATATATATATAATGATATATAATGAACTTTGTTACTACTGCATAAGCATATATTTATAGAAATTTAAATTCTGTTATTCAATCGTAGTTCACATTTTTGTCATTTAACTTACAGTTTAGGCCACTCAGATGCCAGGTCAATATTTTAAATGTGTGATATATATTTGTTTCTATTGATTTTTATTGTGTTGCCAGGTTCTAATAATGAAATAGGAAATTAGATCTGATCTATCTTCTTAAATTGCCATTTTTATTCTTGAATTAGTACTGATATTACTATATAAAGTACCTTTTTTATATATAAATTACAGCAAACATCTATTCCTCCAATGTATATATTGTGCTTATCTACTTTCTTACTGTTTTTATATATGCATGTATTTACAAAGTTTATATACTACTAATACTGCACAACTGAGTTCACATCTTAAATCTTTCTACTTTCTGTCTAACTGCTTGTACAGTATTGTACTGTATGTACTAGTTTAATTTTGTTTATGTTTTGTTACGTATTACTACTACTACTAGTATGCAGTATGTGAGTGTATGTTTAATAATGTAATCACTTCATTTACAAATTCACTAGACTACTGAAAACAACTCTCATTAAGATTTTCTGATTCTCAACTACTTTAAGTTTCACCTGCATGCTGTACTTGCATTAGCTTCTTTTTACAGCTTATCTAAACTGTACAGTTTATGGTGACTTCCATGAAACAGCAATACAGATGTACTTGACGATAAAAATTCATGAGAAACACTGAGCGTCGACAAGCACTCGTGGGTGACCCAGGGGTTCAACATGGTTTAGCTGCCCCAATCTATGTCAGTATCAACCACAATCCTCCACAAGTGAGACACAGAGTAAATAAGAAAAAACAATGAAGTCTTTGTAAGCGATGCAAGCAGAGACTAACAACCTCATAGCTGCTGGGGGTTACGTGGGTGTTGTGAAATATTTGGAAAATCTCCTTCTTAATCAGCGGGGGTCACTTGCTCGGGGAGGAGAAGACTTAAAATGCTAAAGAGGGATGGAGAGGAGGACAAATGGAGGGTCTGTGTACCACACAGAGTGTGCTTTGTGGTGCCCAAGGACTCTGGAGCATCATGTGAAGTTGGACACAGAGCATGTTGAATACATCGGCCCAGAAAATATCCTCCCTCTCCATCAACAAAAACATTTGCATGTCTCCTACATTCTCATGTCTTTGAATGTCAACGAAATCATCACTATACGTTTGACCTTGATAAGTAAAGTAGTGACGTAAGGCACTGCCTCAGTAACTAATCTGACCTCCTGAAAAGATTGCCTAATGAGAATATTGGTTCTGTACACAGCATTTTTGTTATATCTTTACACAGTAAAGCTAGACTATAGGAGGCATACAAGTTGCTGGGTAGATACAGCTGGGATATCACAGCCTGGCAAAGCTGAGAAAAAGTCTCCCAATGGGCCTGTAATAGTCCAGCCACAGATAATACAATAATCACATCGCTGCTTTACAATACTGTTCACCTTCAGCGACATAGTAAACTGATCATAAACTTATCAAATAAATGGAAATACATGATTAATAAAGTATTACATGGAAACAGAAATACTAAATTACACTCTATCTAATTAATTCATCTTTTTGTAGTTTTTAATTGTTTAAACAGAATTACATGAGACATAAATAATAATAAATGCCATATTGCTGTACCTGACTAATTGTGCCCGCCTGCTGACTGCTTCAAGCTCCATCATTTGGCACGCTTCCTCACAGCATCTCCTCAGGCTTGGCTGCCCTCTTCTTGGCTACCACAAGCTCCTGTTGCCCAAACACTCTCTCGCTATACTCCTCTTCTCTCCTTGTACGTGTGAATTTCCCTCTCTGTTTCTCACTCCTTCCCTGCGTTCTGACTTGCAGCAGTGGTGTTTGTCCGGTGATCTACCTACGCTGGCTGTTAACACTCAGTCTGATTTTCTGTCCTCTAACAGTGCACTCTCTGTGAGCCCCTTCTCCCCCCCTTCTTCTTCTTCTTCAGTGTCCCTCCCTCTCACCCTGCCCTTGACAGCCTCTCTGTCTTTTGCTGAGTGTGGGTTTGTGACTTGGGAATTCACAAAAAACAGCTGTTCTCCCATTCTTCTTCTCTGCCCTTTGCATTATTTGAATTTCAATTCTCAGCTATTTGGATCTGGCTTCCTGATGATAAAAGATTTGGATGCCAGTCTTGTATTATCACTCTTAATAAAGGCCTAACCATCCGGAGTATGAAGGGTTCACTATGACATCTGTGTGCAAAGGCTTAAAGGTTTTGTTTCACTGGCAAACTGACAAACATTAGACTACAAAACAGCAAATAAACACACTAATATGACTTAAATTATATTTTGAGCAGAAGGAAAATAGTCCAGGTTGGATTGAAAATAGGATATTTGGATAGCATTGATTTATTACAAGTTTAGAAATTGTAAACTAAACTAAAGAATCTCTGACAAACGTACAGTTTATTGTGAAGTACACCTATAAATCTGTAGTTAAGATATCTATTGTAGTATTTAAATATCAGACATAATCACATTGTTTTATAATTAGTCAGTCTAGACTTCAAAGGTTTACATAATTGGGCAAAAGCCTTCTCCCAGATTAGTTAGGTTTTCTGCTGCACTGAGTCAGCGTCTTGTGGAGTTCTTCTTCAAATATTCTCAAGATAGAAACTGAAGTACCTCTAATACACTCCACGTGCTGCAGTTCAGCAACAGAGATGGTGCTTCACTAATCCAGCTTTAAGAAAGCAGGTTTACAGTGCTTTAAGGTGAGAAGAGCAAGAGCGTTTCCAGTCATGAATAATATCAAATAACTTGACAGAAAGAAAAGCACTCAAAGGAAAACTGAAAGCTCATATCCAGCAGTGGGCCACGACAGATGCCTCAGGAGAGCTGGCATTATTGCTGTACAAGAGGAAGATATCAAAGGAATTTTAAGAGCTATGATAAGAACAACAAGATAGGAGAAAAGTCAAGTCTAAAATTACTCTCATAGGACAGCAGCCACTGGCACTATATTTAAATGTATGAATAAAGTGGTGAAAAATACACAGCGTATTGATTGAAACCCTTGAGACATACTGTAAATACAGCAAAAAAATACTCAAACCATTGCTCAACAGTTGAATAGTAATCATGCCATCATATAATTAGTATCTCACATGTTCAGACCATTTGGTTTTGAGCAGGAAGGTCGTGACCTCGGATGCCCAGGATGTCCGGTTCTCACAGGAGACGAATCAGTCTGCCTCCAGATATTTATGACCCCTCCCTTTTAGCATACTACACAATCAGCCCCGTTGACTGACAGCTGGCATGGCTACTTATCATCTCCCGTTACGCAGTGGACAACCTGTGGGGCACACTTGAAGCAGGAACAGTGGTTTCAATGCTCATGGGAAATGTGGTTCTTAACAAAACACAGCTAGCTGGTGCCAGAGCACGATTTACATTAACTTGTTATATATGGAGCCCCCAATTGTTCAATAACAGATAACAGATGAGACATTTTTAAATAGGTAATAATATGATGGAATAAAGTCCTTTAAATGAACCAATTAACTGAAATGTTAAGCATTAATTAAATTACATTTCATTCAAGTCATTTATATTTCAAAATGTCACTTTTTTCTCACTTAGTCTGCATAGAACTGTTCGTCTTTCTCTGAGGAATATCTTTAGAATCAGAACACTGTCGAGGTGCTGTTACTACTGGCTCCTCACATTGATGCCAAGTAAAAATCTAAACTTTAAAGGTCCAGTGTGAAACATTTAGGAGGATCTATGGGCAGAAATGGAATTTAATATTCATATGTATATTTGCTTTAGTGTATAATCACCTGATTATAGGAATCATTATGTTTTTGTCACCTTAAAATTACCTGTTTGTATCTACAGAGACACGGGTTGCTTTTCATGGAGTCCGCCATGTTTCTACAATAGCCTAGAAGGGACAAGCCAAACACTGGTTCTTTGGGAGGCTGTGGCTCAGGAGGTGAAGCGGGTCATCCACTAATCAGATACTGAACCCCTAAATTGCTCCTGATGCTGTCGGTGTGTGAATGTGAATGAATGAGTTAGTTTCCGTTTGTGATGAGCCTCTGCCATCACTGTATGTGTTTATGAATGGGTGCATGTGGCACGTAGTGTAAAACTACACACTGGACATTTAAGCTGCCCCAGTTAGCTAGCTAGCTAGCTAGGTAGCATGTATCCTTGTTAAACAGAATAAATGGAGATTTGTTTTGTGTGTATTTGCAGCAGCAGCTAGTTGGTCGATTCCTTTTATGTTGAGGATATTGTTTACAACGGAGCTAACTGGTCATGACTTAGTAGCAGCCCTGCTCATTGAGGTAGGGGGCCTGCGATTTACTGACTGGTGACAACTCACTCCAAAAGTGACTTTATGAAAGAAAATGTGTACTTTTTATATTGCAATTTATTTTGCAATTGTTCTTACATAATGGCTTAATTATTTATTTGGTTTTGACCAATCTGGAGTTCCAAAGTTATGCAATCTTTATAATCCTTTTTTCATTTTAATTCTCACAGATAGACACACAAATGATCAATCAGAGCAACCAGATTTCATACTGTGTCTGAAATGTTTTACATTTTGTTTTGTACAGACAATAAGAATCCAGCAGGTGGAGCCATTTAATAACTTTGTACAGCTTTTTAATAACTGTACTACAAAAATGATTCAAATCAATGGGTAATATATATCAAATGTGCCTAAACTACACAGAAAAGCTTTATGATGTTACAGTGCAATGTTATAGTAGAATAATGTATACAGAAGCCAGAGCTAACATGTCTGGCTTGTAATGCTTTATCTTTCACAGAAGGTGATGCTGTTGTCTTCAGTAATGAAGAACACCATTGACCAGGAGAACGGACAAATCTAAGAAGTATTCAGATTCAGAACACATAGCAAAATCACATTACAAACAAAGGTCCTTTCCTGAGCTCAAAATGTTACTGAAGTAAAACTGTAAATTGCAAGTATTGTAAAAAAAATACCTAAAATATAAAGCTCCTATAGTCAGTAATATTACTGACTTTACTTCATATTCTGGTTGTATACAGTAAGCTCATCACTGTTTCTTTATGTTTAAATGTAATATGCAGAGTATTGTTAACTGTCAGATACTGTACATGTAGCAAAAGCAACAAGGACAATATTTACATGAAATGCAGTGGAGTCTGACTATGAAGTAGCATTAAAAAGAAATACTAAAATACTGTGTAAGCACCTCAAAATTGTACTCGAGTACAGTACTTCAGTGAAGTACTTGGTTAGTCTGCCACTCCTGCAAATTTGTATATAAAGATATAGAAACAATTA